GGTTGTTACCGACATCTGGTGAAAATTTCATGTCATTAGCACCTCTAGTAATATATTTACTGAGAAAAATGGTGACGTGTTCAATACTTATTTTACCCTATGTACATAAAACTTTTTGTCACGGATCAGATAATCCAACTAGTGTAAAAATTTTATAAACATTCAAATGATGGCAGTGATTAAATTTCCAGGCTTGTTTTGACAATATTAGTATACTTTCAGATTCATACTCAAGGCCGGTGTGCTCACCTCACTGCCTTGTCCCAGCATGTGTAGGTTCTCCAAGCAGTGTCGCGTCAGGTTCCTCAAGGTTCCCTCAGCCAGCAGCAAGTTCTCGTGGGGCTCACAGACCAGCGTGAAGCACAGGCTCTGGAKCCCCAGCCACACGGCGCTCATCTCTGAAGCAAAAGGGTCTCCGGCTCTCAGACGCACCACCCCACTATCTGCATCCTGCACGGCGAGAGCCTCCTCACCAGCCACCGTCTCCACCAYCAGTCGCCCCGAAGCCTCCCGGGACAGAGCGACGGCACTCCTCACCTGCCTGAGGAGGAGGAGCAAAGTCAGCAAATTCAAAAACTGAACTGGTGTTTTAGAAACAAACTGAGCAAATTCATGAGTTTTACAAGCATGAAACTTTACTTTTTTGCTTAAAATGTTTACATTAAAATACAGTGACATCAAATGCATTGTTGGGCAGATATTATTAATAACATATTTCAAAGAAAATTTCCTGTCGCTGAGATGAGCAGTTGTTGAGATATTGACGTGACAAAATAGGAAGTGATGTCAGCGAGGAATGTCTGCTTATAAACAAAGCATTGTTACAATAACATAACTAAACACAAACTAAGAATCTGATGTTTCTTTAAAATATTTCTGAGTCAATATCAGAAAATGAAGAGTCAGAGTTTAAACAATATTGTTTTAATAAACAAAGACCAGAGTTTCTTTTTCTTAGAGTTCCCCTTTGATGTCACTTCCTGTTTTACTTTGGCTGAGCCAAATTCAAAAGAAAATATGCCAATTACGCAATAAGATTGGTAAAATCGTTTGTATTATGCCCTGTTTCTTCAATTTAAAGATGTTTTATTTGACTTTTTTGCATTTGAAGGATATGCACTTCAAAGGCACTTGAATAAAATGAGTATAAAACAACAAAATCTGCAAATTAAACTACAGTAACAATAAGAGTTCTGTTTGTTTTCCAGAAAAAGAATTGACAACYCACGCATAAATCCCACTCTTTCACACAGACGCACACTCTTCCTCCACACAAGAAACTGATAACAGCTGTGTTTGTACGCTGCTAAATTTAATCATGCTTATTTGTTGCAGCAGCACAGTAATAGAAGTCTTTTCCAGTGAGCGTTTTCTAACACTCGCTGTAAGTGGAAAGAAGTGAGACGACTGACAGCCTGTTCTGGCCTTGATGATTCTTGGCAGGTGCTTTATATTGTGCACTTTGGAGCAGTAGAAGAAAAAAAGAGAAGATGGGTTCCAGTTAAATAAACTTAAAGAATAATCAAAGGGATGAGCTGCCTGAAGTTTTGGACGCTAAAAATAAAGTGTTTTCAAGTGTGACTGAATTGCCGTGAAAGGARGATTTCTCACCACAGTTGCTGCAGTTCTCACCAGTAGTTTCCCTTTAACTCTCACCATTTAGCTCTAGATTGCCTTGATAGTCTTGAGATTTCATTGTACCGTAAATATAATCGAGACAAAGCAGCTCCAGAACATAACTGAGCCACCTCAGTAGGCTTTTTTTTTTGAGTTGTACGGCTCGGCTTACCCCAGCCCTGGTTGTGTTTGCATTGAGCAGAGTGCCGCCTTGATGTGGGCGGGATCATAATATGACACATTTATTTGTGACACAACAATAATGGATTACACCAAACATAAAGGAAAAGTACCAAAGACTGTAGCGGACCGTCCAGCAGTATGACACTGAAGAACAGAGGGGAGGATGACAGAGAACGGTAAGCTAATGGTAGCTAATGTTAGCTTGTTGCTCTTTGGCAGCTTGCTTCTTTTGTTGTGTGGTTAAACTTACGCGAAACAAAATGATTCACGTAAAGTTACTCTCATCTGTGTGACGTAACCTCCCCGGTCAGTGAACCAATCAGTGAGCAGCAGTAGCTGACATCAACTCGAGCTAAGCAGCCCGGCCCAGATAGAACCACGGGTCTTGGGGGGTGGAATTCAGACACTGGGGCGGGACCTTAGGGGCTAATGCAAACACGATGAAGCCAAGTTTGAAGCCAGGGGCCGAGCCTTGTGGKCTTGTGGCCTCACGTTTCACTGTGAGGAGCTCTTTTTCTATGCTTCAGTTTTGTGTCTGTGAACACAGAGCTGATGGGACTTGATGCCAAAAATCTCCAGTTTTGTCTCGTCCGTCCAAAGGTCGTTCTCTCACTGTGGCCCAAACAGATGGGGCGACCTGACACTGATGAATCTTGACCCTGGAGTTCACCTCTAATCTCGTTAGAAGTTGTTCTGYGCTCTTTGGTTACCAATTGTATTATCAGTCTCTTGAAATCGTCATAATTCTCCTCCTGTGGTCACATCCAGAGAGGCTGTCTTCCATCCTGTGTGAATAATCAGTGCTGTAATTACAGAACAACAAGCTGCTGAAGAAGGTTTTATAGTCTTTTTAATATTCTGCTCAATCACTTACTTTCCTCACTGTGGTACATGTTCAGTGTGTTACACACTGTGATACCAAACAGCCCTGTGACTACCTTTCYCCCTTTAAACTGAAGAATCTGTGATGCTAATGACAGGACACTCAGTTTAACATCTCTACACTGAACATTAGTTTCTAGCTTTTCTCCGGGTACCATATTTTTTGGAACCAAATTTTAAAAGCGATGACTGAGTTTCACTAGCGATTGGTGTTTTTTTTTTTTTTTTTTTTTCATTTGTCCATTTCAACTTTTTTCAGTGAGAGTGGTTTTTACCATTTTTTTCTTATCTATAAATTTTAATGGCTTCATTTTGTTTCTTCTGTCATGTTGGAGTTGGCAAGTTAAACCTTTATTATGTATTTTGTCTACATTATATTTTTTGGTGTACAATAAATAGACTGTTAAAAATAAAATAAAGCAAAATAGTTGATTTTGGTTTTTAAGGAAAAATGAGTCATTTAAACAACTAATGAATACTGAAACATTACTAGAGGCGCCCCTAACCRGCTCAGTATGGAATGAGTGCTACTCTGAGAAACTTGTAATTTGGAAGCAGAAAGGGAAAGTAAATACAGATTTGCTGCTGTTATCATTATGTGCGTTATGTAAAAATCTAACACATCTAACAGTAATCAAASGCTATTTCCTCACAAATACATCGGGGCACCAGTGAAAATTAGGGAGTTATTTTCTGCTTTAAAATGAAGACATGGGTTAATTTGTGTCTCAATAAACCTACAAATAAAACCCTGCAGATTTTTAAACAGTTAAGTGCATCTTCTTTTTTTTTTAAATCTCTCTTCACAAACTATAATTAGCAGTTCTTAAAGATATATTAAAAGTGGCTAAAATTTCAACAGCTTTAGAAAATATTGGTTATTTCCAACAACACAAAAAAAAAAGGAACGAGGTAATTCAAAGTTAATCAAACCTTAGGGACAAGCAAAAAATGTAGGTTTAAAAAATATATGAAATTTTTAAATGATTGGGGAAAATAAACGCAATTATTTCTTCTGGTAAGAAATGTATCATCTTCCCAGTGTGACTCACTGTATGTTGACTTTTAGAAAAACACCAAGTCTGGGTTTTATGAGCATCTGCAACAGATTCAACTTTAGAGTCAGATTTAATCAGGATGGCTGCCACAGCCAAGTGAGCTTCAAAACACTAAAATGTCTGCAACTCAGTCAAGTTTATAAATACGGAGCTCAAATCTGGCTGCTCCTCATCACAAACTCAAAGCATTAACATGTTGTTGTTCAAGATATTTGTTTAAAATGTTGCCATTATTAGGGTCAATCCTGCCTGCCTGTGTTAGCAAAATATTTCATGAKCCACTGGATGGATGGTGATGAYATTTTCAGGAAYTAATTGCTGTACGTTCYGCTACAACTGATTTAATTTTGAAGACAATCCTATTCAAGACAGCCTCTACAGGTAACTTTAGAAAACATAAAAATTGTTATAGTTCAATTAATTTCACAAAACCACTAAAACTAACTTCTTATGGTGCACTTACCTCGCCAACACAGACATCTTCTCCTTCTGAAGAAGCCTCCTCTCCTCCGGGCTGAGCTCCCGCTGCTTCTCGGTCAGCACGGCCTCGTCTGGACCGAACACCCGGGAGTAAAGCACCCGGCTCTCCCCGGTAGACAGAGCGCTGACAGGGCACACGGTGTGGATCACAAAGCATCGCACCATACTCTCAAACAAACACAAATAATATTTTAAAATTATAATAATAATGGGAAAAATAAAAGCAATCTCTTAGCTCTTGAAAATTATTTTCTTCTGTTGCAAACAAACCGACTTCCGGGTTTGGTCAGCTGACCGCTCGCGGCTAGGTTGTTGTAATACAWCGACCTAACCAGAAGATGGCGCTCACGATTTTGTTCCTATTGGTTTTAACCAGAGCCCTGTTTTAACCAAGCACAACATATTTTTTACTTACTTATTAATTAGACTGTAAGTCTGAAGATATTTCAAGACAGCAAAATGAATTAAGCAGCGTATCAGCTTTCTTTTACCTAAATGCTTGATAATATTTATAAGTGCTAAAAGTCAATGCTGGTGGTTTCACAATAAGAAGCAGGAGATGGTGGAACCAGAAGGTCTCAGCTGCTGCTGCACTTCTTTACTCTGAAGTCCTCTGCTCAGTGGGTTGACACTTGTTTTGAGTGATGAAGTAACTGCTCTGATGGAAGGAAAATATAGAAAACATCCACTTCCTGTTCACCTTTMTCACCCCAGGCCTAATAATCTCCAATTAAAAAAATAATGTGTTGTTCTTTTTTTGTCAATTTGTCTGTCTGTTAGCAAAATATCTCATATATTACATATAAACATATACATACATACATACAGTATATTACAATATACAGTATATCATAGGTCACTAAATATATTTTAAATATAAAAATAGTAGTATATCTGTAACTGTTTAGCTTTTGGAGTTACCCAATTCAAGATGGCTGCCAGATCCAACTGACAATTAAAACCATTACATAAAAACCATTACATAAAAACGTTTAAGTGCAGATTATCAATACTCAATAAATAAGACTAATGTTATTCCAGTATTTACAACCCCAACTCCAATGAAGTTAGGACAAGGTGCAAAACATGAATAAAACAGAATACAACAATTTGCAAATCATTTTTAACCTATATTCATTGGAATGTACTAGAAAGACAAGATATTTATTGTGCAAATGGATKAACTTTGTAGATTTTTATTCATTTGTTTATATATATTTTGAATTTGTTGCTTGTAACATAATTTAAACAAGCTGGGATAGGGACAACAAATGACTGGGAAAGTTGAGGAACGCTCAAAAACACCTGTTTGGAGCATTCCACAGGTGAACTGGTTCATTGTAATTGTGAGTGTCATGATTGGATATAAAAGGGAGCATCCCACYAAAGGTTCGGTCATTCACAAGCAAAGATGGGTGAGGTTCACTTTGTGAACCACTGGGAATAATTCAACAGTTTACAAAAGTTTTTCATCATACAAATGCAAGAAATTTAGGGATTTCATCTTTTTTACAGTCCATAATATCCAAAGATTTAGAAAATCTGGACAAATCTCTGCGAGTGAACGACAAGTCTAAAAACCATCACTGCACTCTTCAATCCCTCAGGCAAAGAACGCAGCCCCTGAATTTGGACAAAGTCTATCTCTGTTTGATAGCTTGTTAGCTTTCTCAAGGACCAGGATGTGTGAAAGAAAAAAAAAAAGAATTTTGGAACTGAAATTAAATTATAGAACTGAAATTGAAAGTAGTCCAACTGAATTTTCAATACAACAAAATAGTTTTAGAGCAAATG